AAGATCCCCTTACCGGTCATCTTTAAAAAAAAAAAAAAAAAAAAGAAACAGGATAGTTATGCAAGTCATCCCCAAGCAGCAGTAATATGATGTGTTATGCATAAGAAAATATGTGGCGACTCAAAATGGTGGGATTTTATTCAGGATCTAAGTGAAACTGATGAATTTTAAAGCATTTCTGAAAGTTGTGAGTTTGGCATTTCTAATTTTTAATTCAATAGATATTTGAGGGCCTGCTCTTTTAAGTCACTAGGCCTTGAATTTGAAATGGAAAGCAAAAATATTTATTGAAAGTATTGGATCAGAAGACAATACAAGATCAATGTACATATAAAGTAAAACAATCATGAGTCATGATTTTGAGGCTTCTCATTATGAAAAGTTTGGGTCAGCAATTATCTAAGTCCTTAGATGATGGGAAAAATAGAGATGTATAGAAATCAATGTATACGTTTCCCTCTCAGTTCGTTAAGATTTTTTTGTAAAAAATGCATGAAGACCATTGTTGAACATATGCTTCTATTAGTTGCAAAGCTATAATGAATGGTCTATCATATTTTTAATTAGGATAAGTGAATATATAGCATTGGGGTGATTAAGGAAACAAAAATTTTAAAGATGACAGAAGGTCAGAAAGGACTCGGGGCAAGTTGGGGCTGGGATGGTGAGTGGCCTTGTGACCCTGTCAGTAGAGCCGTGTCTAGGGACCTCCTGGTCCTTTGTCTCATGGTTGCCTGTCTTCACATCCTACAGAGCTTTCTCTCTGCACCCCAATCCCCAGGTTCACAGCCGGTGTGATAAACAGGGAGAGGATGGCTTCCTTTGAGCGGCTGATGTGGCGAGTTTGCCGAGGAAACATCTACTTGAAGTTCAGTGAGATGGACACAGCTCTGGAGGATCCCGTCACGGTGGGAATCTCAGGCTGCAGAGAATTTTCTCTGAGTTCTCCTATAGCCCTCATCAGAAGAGTTTCGTTCTCTCAAAACATCAAGTCTCTAGTTCGACAAATCTCGTAGTTCCTTCCTCCTTTCTTTTCTTTTACTTGTCTCCTTGCTTTAAAATACATTTGAAAAGTCAATTCAAGGACTGATTTTTGTTAACACTTCCTAGGTAGTTCATTCCTCCAAGAAACTTAGCAATAATTATTTCTAGAAACTTAGCTAAACTAGTGCCACACTAGGCAGCAGCTGTGTCTTAATCACAAAGAACTGAGAACTGATATTATTTTCTTGGATGCCTAATATTTCCATTGAGTTGATGTGATACTATGTAGTTTTGAACACTTTATTTCCAATTTTTCTCTGGAATATAGACATCTTGATGCATGTGGATTTTTATTTTCTTTTGGCTTATTTCTGTAATATGAATTCAAGGGAAATAGGATTGCTGGCTTAGAGAGTGTGGGCATTTTTATGACACTTAATGGGTCCTGATAAATGGCTTTTTAGTGGGGTTGGACCTGATTCCAATGCCCTGAGTGGTCTGTGATGAGTTCATTGGATTTGTTATAACTTTTCCAACAACGAGTTTTATAATTTTATGTTGATCCCCTCAAACTAAATGAGTGAAAGAACACATTCGTTCTGTTCATATTTCTTTGCTTACAGGAAGAGCTGAACATTTTTATATATGCCTGTGGAACATACATTTTCCCTTTCTTGTGAATTGTCCAACTTAGACTTGAAAAATGCAATTTAAGTCAAAATTTGGATGTGGCTTTACCTTTATTAAGTACCAAACACCCACTCATCTTTGAAATGTGGATGTTGTGTATGAGTTAATTCTGGGGAGCCAGGCCAGCTATTTTCATTTTAAACCGTGCAATATCCTGGTTCCTTCTGGAGGTTTTCTTGTTTATTAACGCATCTCTGTAGTACAGTGTTTAGAGCTGTATACAAGGGCCAGCTGTGGTCCAGCCAGTTTAGCGAACAGTGAGGCTGTCACTTTACGGACACGTCGGCCTCCCTGAGTTCCAGGCACAGCTGCCTCATTGGTCTTGTCCTCAACTATGACCTATGAACTTAGATGAACTGGGGAAAGTTAAAGTTTTCCAATTCTAAATTTGTATGTTTTTAAAACATAAAAACAGGACTTTACATTTCTCCCTATTATGTTCTAACCAGAAAGAAAAACCTTTAAAAAAAAAATTTGTTCTGATTTTCCAGAAAGAAGAAATTAAAAAGAATATATTCATCATATTTTATCAAGGAGAGCAGCTCAGGCAGAAAATAAAGAAGATCTGTGATGGGTAAGCGAGATGGTTCATGGCTCTTTCCTCAGTGATTTGGGTCAGGATTAGGTAAAGAAAGAGATCTGCAATGCAAAATACACATGACTGGGGCTCCTTTGACATCATTTAGGATTTAAAATAACTTTCCCACACTTGACAAGATGGAGTTAAAAGTGCAGCTGACTTTTAATCGTTGTGGGAATATGAACAGAGAAAACTTGAATAGACAAAATTTAAAGGTAACGAAAAGTAGACATGTTAACCATTTCAGTTTATTCCTTCTTATACTCTATCAGCTGCTAAAGGGTAGACAAACAGTGCTGGCCAGTTGGCTCAGTTGGTTAGAGCTTGGTGCTTATAACACCAAGATCCAGGGTTCGATTCCTATACCAGCCAGCCCCTAAAAAAAAAAAAAGTAGACAAAATGCACAGCTAAGTCGTTTCTGATTTTACAGAATCATCTGATATGCAGTCCCTTAGACGTAGAAATTACTTAGTACAGGACATGAAGACTTAACAGATTCTGGTGGGAAAAACAGACAAGTCAAGCCTGCAGAATTATTTATATAACAGCTCACAGGCTTTACGGTTTCAATGAAGCTCATTCATATAACATCGTATAACAGAACTGCAGCTTCAGTTCCCAGTTTAAGTGATGTGTTGGGAATCCTTATGACTGGGACTCACTTTCCAACTGCCAAGGAGGCAGTTATTCTAGGAAAGGGTGGCCCTCTGAGTGAAGTCAGCAAATGATGGCTTAGCAGAATGCTTTTCACCACTAACCCATGTGCAACCTTTGGAATGTCTTCAACACAGGTTTCGAGCCACCGTATACCCCTGCCCAGAGGCTGCGCCGGAACGCAGAGAGATGTTGGCTGGTGTCAACATGCGGCTAGAAGATCTAATCACTGTGAGTGACGGGGGCTACAGAGAGGCTGCCTCTCCCACTTCCCTCTAAGTCCTGCCCCCAGGGCCCTTGCTGGAAGGCTGGCTGGAATGCTTGCTATGCTCTTCTGGCTGGGGCTGCGGGAGATTTCACAATTAGCAAACAATGTTCGATAAGCCAGAGGCGATGATTCTACATGTCAGTAATGCTTTGCCCGAATTTAGAATTGACCACAGTCCTAGTCAGCCTTTAGGCCGCCGCTCGGATCTTATAAAAGAAGCCCTTTATTGCCAGCCCTGGCCTAGCAGGAATCCAAGATACAACTAACCAGCCAATTAAGTCAAACAACCAGTTTGACCCATTCTCTTCCCACTGAATTGCCTGGTTGTGTAAGCCGATCAATTAATTTTGTAAAAACAGCGAGTCTAGTTTCACCGCATGGACACTCATTCATCCCAAATTCATTTCCCTTGTAAAGTCTGTCATCATCCAGGGTGACACTGAATACATTTATGATGAAAACTCTTTCTTCAGGCTGGCCAGCGAGCTCAGTTGGGTCCAGCATGGTGTTATATAACAGGGTCGAGGGTTTGGATCCCCTTACTGGCCAGCCACCAAAACAAAAACAAACGACCAAAACAAAAACAAACGAACAAAACCACTTTCTCCAATCACAGCAGCATTGAAAGTAATCCCTGAAATCACCTCGGCCCTGACCAGATGGTATATTCTCCATCAGCACTGTCCCGTGGAACTGTCTGTGGTGATGGAGATGTTATGCAGCCTGCGCCGTCCAATGCCGTGGTCATGAGCCACGTGGCTATTGCACACTCGAAACATGGCTAGTGCCACCAGCCTGCGCCGTCCAATGCCGTGGTCATGAGCCACGTGGCTATTGCACACTCGAAACATGGCTAGTGCCACCAGGGAACTGACTTTTTATTTTTATTTAATTTTAATTAAATTAAAATTTTAGTAGCTGCATGAGGCTACCATATAGGTCAGCACAGTTTTAGACCCTCAAGGAGTGTGTTTAGAAATTATGGGTGTGTGTGTGATTCACAACCCTTAGGCTGGCAGACACGTTCACCTTCCCAGAAAAATCTGTGTTTAATTTCTTTAATCCTCTCTATTCTTTGTCACTTGTCAAGAAGACTGTGTTTCCCTTAAGCCATTATCCTTGTAGTCCTTTTCCCAAATACTCCATGCTATATTTTATGAAAATCTCAAGAGAAGAATGGAAAAGAAATATGCTAAACTTATGCTTACAGTTAGAATGACTTGGATAGCTATTTGGAGGTTTTGGGTGGTCCTAGTTGACCAATGTCCCCAGCTGGTCCTAGCTTCTCTCCTTCGGTTCAGCCTCTGCCACTGATGGGTCTTAGCCACTGCTCGATGCTCAGGCAGTTTATTCTGGCAGCGCTCTTCCAAGACGTATAGCCATGGTGAGCCAGTGTCATGGGCCAGATACAGCTGGAGGTCAGATGACGGACTGACCAGGAGAGTCTCCGTTCGTAGATCGTTCCCAAAGTTCGGGAAATCCTTCTACTTTTGTATACCAGTGTTTAGTCCATGTCTGTTAATTTAAGCTATTCTTGAAGGTTAAGCTTTGTTTTAAGGCTTCATCTGTGCTAAAAGTTACATTGTGCTGAGGTGGCCTTGCCTCCTGGAAACCACTGGGACAGGTCACATCATGCTGCTAAATAACTTGTAGTGTTGGTCCTTCAAGGTGCTTACATGGGACTTATGGCTACCATTAATCTACAGCCATGACATGTCTCTTCCAGTTGTGAAACTTGATGAAATCACTTTCTGTCGGACCCAGACAAAACAGAACTAGGAAAGGCATGAAGGAAGGGGGCTCATGCTTGCTTTTCTGAGATAAGAACTATTTCCAAGGACCTTCTAAAAACCCATTAGGAATCCACATCACATCTTTCACATTCTTCATGCATCTCCTGTTTTTTGTGTATGCACTTTTCTGAGATAAAGTTCATCATTAGATGTTCTTTAGAACTGCAGTAATTCAGATAAGATGGTCCAAGAAGAAACTGCCCAGTGAAAGCATCCCAATCAATGAACTGATGACAATTCTGACTTTGAGCCTCTGAAACCAGTTGTATTAGCCTGTTTCTGTTGCTTATAACAGAATACCTGAAACTGAGTAATTTAT